GAGGAGTCGGCCTCTTCACCATCCGCATCCTCCTCTTCAACCCGGCGAAGGAGTTCAGCATTGTAATCCTTGTTTGCCTGATCAAACTTGGATTTCCAGATGCCAAAATCAGCACCCGGCTGTACCGCCTCCCATGTCACCCGCATGATGGATTCGTAGTCTTCCATCATTTGTTGGACAAGGGCATGTTTCTCCTCCTCAGCCCGGGACTCGAACTTGGCCTTCAGCTGTTGCTCCCGGTTCGCCAGGCGCCCCTCCAGGCGGCTCACCCGCTCCTTGGCCCTCCCGGCCTCATTCTTGGCCTCTTGAAGAGTCTCAAGTTTTTCCTTAAGGCCTTTAACTTCGGCCTTAAGTTCATTGACTTTGGAGCGGGCCGAATCTAGGTTCTTCTTCACTTGCAGGTTGGCGTCCGCCTGGGAATACATCATATCAAGGGTCAGAAGCTCATTCAGAGCAATTTCAAATTGAGCTCGGTTTAAGGCGGACTCGGCTCGAGCTTTAGCGGCTGTTACCTCTTTTGATTTTTCCTGTATTGGCCGTTTGAGCCCTTGGACGCGCAGCATGGCCTGGAAATAAGAAAAGACCGAATGGTCAAAACCAATCGGATATGTGTTAAATATTATGGAAAATTTAGCTAACTCTTTTACCTCGCAGAGGTTCCCCAAGATGGAATCCAAGTTAAGGGTGCCAACTCCTCTTACGGATTCCCTGTCCTCAGGATCAAGCGACCGTAGCATCTCCTTGGCCATCTGGACGATGGTCAGCCTTTATGGGGGGGCTGCAAAATTATAAGTTAGTCAAATTCCAAGAAGCAACATTAAGCATTGAAGTTTAATAAAGATGCGGCCCATACTGTCCGGCTGGGCCTCCTCCTCCTTCTCCTTCCCCTGACGTCTCTTCTCTCCTGCTGAGCCGACAGTAGTGCTGGGTTGCTTAAAGCCACCCTTTGATGCCTGAGTAGCATCCGGTTTGCTGACCTCCCTGCCAGCTTCGGGAGTAGAGCCGTCCCCTCTCTTGGACTTTTGAGCAATGTGTTTCCGGTTTTTGCCGGATGCACTCACTTTACCAGCTCCATTTTTTTGAATTTTGAGTTGGGATTGTTTGGAGGGAGAAGGCCTGACAGAACCACTCTGTTTGGACGAAAAGAAAGGCGTCAGAAAAGCAGGTGGAAAAAATTTAACCTTTGTTAAAAAATATTTCAAGTATCATAAACAGCTACCTTGGGAATTCTGGCTGCTTTCTGCTCGTCACTCGCCCTGTTGAGGACGTTGGTGCGGTACTTAGCTGCAGAAACAGCAGCCGACTTCTTCGTTGCCAAGAGCTTTTCCATTGCTTTGTCTGCACCAAAAAGAGGGAGTTAGGCTTTATAAGCATACACTGAAAACAATTTTAAGTTTACTTAAAGACAGATGACCGACTACCTCTCGGCATCTCAGAACTTAGACCACAAGCGGCCAAGAACACCCCATCTTCTAGCCACTTGTAAAGGGGAATGTAGCTCTAGGGGACGACTATTTTCTCCCCATGATCGTTTGTCCGAACGGACACTGCAGACAGACCCCGGTCAAAAATTTCCTCCTAGGCCCGCCTAGGGAGAGGGGGCAAGGCACTCTTGCTAGCCAGAAGGGGCGGATCCTTGTTCCACCGATTGTATTTTTGGTTCAGTCGGCTTTTAGGGGAATGGACAATGTAAAACTTAGTTCTCCAGTCCTTCCATTTGTTCTCTTTGTCGACTGCCATCATGTACCCCTTTAGGTGGTCAAGGTGTACCAGCCTTCGCCGCCCTTGGCGGGCGCTCGGCTGAGATAGTGCATGTGGGCGAATGCCTCAAAGCTGAGATCCACCTCCAGCATTTCACATGTGGAAACGTACCCCATGATATTTATCCATGAATTCGGGACAAGTTGCCAGATACCCAGTTGGTATCCATCCAGTATCCTCTCCACGGCCGGATGAAGAGGGAAGCGTAAGCCAGCCTGAAGGACCGCCTCGTAGCACCCGAAGGCTTTGTCCATATAACTGGCTAGGGAGGGCCATGTTATTATATCCTCCTTGTTGGGGACGGATAAGGAGAAGCCATGTCCCATTACGACCTTGCGCCTGTAATTGGCAAGACCGGATGTCATGGAGGCCCGCTTGCTCTGCGGGACATGGTGAAAATAGGGGGCGCGCTCCAAGCGCCTGGAAGCACTCGGCTCCGCCCAGCCTTCTCCCTTCTCTACTAACAAGGATTCCCTTGCAGTGTCTATTTTTGCTCGGACCTCCTCTGACTCAACAGAGGCGCTATCAGAAGATGACGAGGCCGAATCGTCAACAGAACTTTCCCCAGAGCTAAGAGACTGCCGGCTAGGGCCAGCAGAGTCCACCCCTAGACTCTCCTCAGGCGCCTGTTCTAAAGGCTCGGCCTGATACTGACTGTCGGCTTCCCGCAGTATAGTATCACTGGGGGTGCCGCTTGAAGAAGAGGGAGAATAATAAGTTGGAGTTAGGGGAAGGTCAGAAGAGGGGTTTGGGGGGTGCTCAGAAATTTCGCTAACTGGTACCCTAATGGAGCCGCCTGAAGTTTGAGTCTCATTGTCCGAATGGTAAAAGGAACCATCCGGCCTATATCTCCTTTCTGTCTTCTTTATTCGAGCCATCGTGTCCTGCAGATGCACAGACACTGTCGGATTTGGAGATGCACTTAAAGGAAAGTTCTCGAACGAGCATTCGGTACCCCTAGTTCTAGATTCAGTCGTCCCCAATGACCGGCTGATCGCTAACCTAGGTCGTGTTGTGTACGTTTGGGAAACCATTTAAACGAAAAACACAAGAAAAAATAAAAGAAAAGTGCATGTGGTTACCTTAGAAGAAGGTATTTGAGACGCTTGGTTGGCTGAAGAAGTCGGTAAGAAAGGCCGAGTGTCGGATGCTTGACAAAAGTCAGGGTCTTTAAGAGTGTTTGAGAGTTAAAAGTCCAGAGATTCTCCAAGATTCGCAAAGGTGTGAAAGCAAAAATGAAGTCAAGCCTTCCTATTTATAGAAAGGGGAAACCTTAATTTTTTCCCCCCAAAATATAATTTGAAAATCCAGCCAGTCAGATGAAGACACTTGTCACAGGTGCCACGTGCAATACACGTGACCCCTGTGAGGGGCAAATGATTTAGGTATTTTATACCCTTCCAAGAGGCCCAATCGGAGCATGACACATGTCACTGGAAGGGGCTCCTGCTTAGACCTTCCAGATGGTGACACGTGTCGAGCAGATATTGCCCCTTGGGAATGGCGGCTTTCAAGGCCCAAATCCGAAGGGGCCCTTAAAAAACGGCGTGCTCTAATCCCTAGGTCACCAGATCCTAGGGAGGGCACACTTTCTAAAAGGACCCTATAAATAGGGACATTCTTACATTTATGAAAAAACAGAGAAAAAGCGAGAGAATATTCACGCACTACGAGACAATACGTCACTTACTACAGAGTTGTCATTTCAAAGAACAGATAACACTCTACCTGAGCTTGGAATCCAAGCAGATAACTTTACTTCCGCACGTTTTATTACCGAACGTTTACTAACTTAATCTTCGGAGGTGGACCACCGACCATTCGGCAGTCCATTTGCTTTGCAGGTACAGGGGTCCATTGTTGAACCCAGTTTCAGTGTTGTAACTCTCCCAAGGGACAAAAACCCTGAAACACTATCTAATTGGAGGACCACTCTATTCACGTTTACTTGGAGTGATGAAATGGTTCCTTAATTTTATTAAATGGTGGTTTCCTTCATTTGCTAGCTTTAAATTTGTAAATAGTTGTACATGTGAATCTTAGGGTTTCATTTGTATCCTAAGATAAGATATACATGATACTTATGGTACCCTACATTATTCAAGTGTTACCCTACTTTGATCTGGTGGTACCCTACGTTGTTACAATGGTCTAAGGCTTGTGTGTAGTACCATTCATGCTATTAGTTGTGCCCTTTGCGTTATCAAGGGTACCCTTCACTGCTTTAGTGTAACTATATCTATCATTCTTTTTAGTGGCACCTTTATACTTTTAATGGTACCATATAACTACTTAGTGGTACCCTTATATTTAAAATTGGTTTATTAGAACCCTTTACATTCTTTAATTGGAGGACCATGCCCTTCACATTTACATAGAGTGTGTTGATTACACAGTTCCTTACTTTTAATTAAATAGTCCCCTCGCTCCTAAAATGAAATTGGTTAATAAGGTAACTAGTTAAAATTGGACATACATATTTAATGTCAAATAGATGGTAGTTACATAATTTATTATTCGATTAAATGGTTCCCTTAGTTTGATTTATTAGAACCCTTTACACTCTCTAATTGGAGGACCACTCTATTCACGTTTATTTGGAGTGCTGAAATTGTTCCTTAATTTTTTTAAATGGTGGTTTCCTTCCTTTACTAACTTTTAAGTTGTAAATAGTTGTAAATGTGAATCTTAAGGTTTCATATGTATCCTAAGATAAGATATACATGGTACTAATGGTACCCCACATTATTCTAGTGGTATTCTGCTTAGTTCCAGTGGTACCCTACGTGATTCTAATGGTCTAACCTTATCAGTAGTACCATTCATATTATTAGCCGTGCCTTTTAACTACCAATGGTACACTTCACTGCTTAAGTGTAAATATATCGACCAGCCATTTTAGTGGTACCCTAGTTGTAACCGTTTACTTGTTAGTGGTAACCTTGAATTTTAATTGTGTTAGTCCCCTTTATGATCTTAATTGCGTTAGTCCCCTTTATATTCTTAGTGGTGATACCCTTTAATTTTACTTGTTAGTGGTAACCTTGAATTTTAATATTGAAATATGTTAACCAGTTGTTTCATTTATTTTGTTAGTACCCTTTATGTTCTAAGTGGTTGTACCCTTTAATTTTAAAGTGGTTCCCCTAAATTGATTTTTGGGAACTTTGTTAGTGGCACTCTTTAATTGGAGGATTGATTAAATGGTTCCCTTTGCTAAAATTAAATTGTTAGTTGTAAATGTTAACACTTGTAATGTCAAAAGACGGACCTTACCCTCACATATGTAATGTCAAAAGATTGCCCTTACAATTTGGGCTTACAAAAAATTGGCCCTTTTTCTAACAATTTGTATGACAGAAAATGGGGTTGTTAGGAATTCGGCCTTCAAAACATGGCCACGCAAAATTAGTCACCTTAGCATATTAGTCTATCTCTGTGATGCATGAGAGGGTGGAGTCACCAGCGTCCGAGGTCGAGGTAGTATAGGAACGTAGCCACCTTGTGTGGATGATGTGGCAGATAACGGAGATACAGGGTTCTGCCATCCATAAGGTCTTGAAGGGTACTGAGCTAGGGGAAATTGAGGATACAAAACATAGTATCCCTGACTAGGAGAGATTTTGGATCCTTGGAAGTTTTTACCACCACCACCAACAACCGTAAAGTACCCTATAGAGTCGTCTTTGTCCCGCAATTGAATGCCACCAACACATTGAGGACCGTAAGGAACCATCTTATTCATCATCGACATATATGGTACCTACATGTGTAACAACATATATTATAACCGAAACCAGAACATCTTTTAAGTTCTTGATGGCCTAAAACAAAATTTCCAGAATAGAGTCTTTAAAAGGCACATGGCAGCAACTTAAAAGATATCATTGAGGGCCTTTGGAGTTTGGACATATATCTGCATATATACACATCTATATGCACATATACACATATATCTGCACATATACAGCCTACCAAAATACCAACATAGACACACCAATATGATACAAGTATAATATAACAATTAAGGTTTCTCAAATTCAAAATATGCCTCATTAGTAATAATGATTGAAGAATTGAAGGAATATTTACCCCATTTGTGGAAGGTTCAGTTGTTTGGGCTTCTAAAATAGTCATGTTCTTGCCTTGTGTGTTCTTGTGTTGTGTGTTCTTCGTTGTCTTTGCCTTCTTAGGTTTCTCCAGACATAAGTTGTACCTCGAATCAGTGGTGCTATGAGCTGGCCTCTTTGGTAAGGGTGGGTCTTTCACATGAAAATCTTGTTCTTCTACAGCTACCCTATTGTCATCATTGCCATCACCATGACCCTCATGGCTACCCTGTCTTTGAGTCGATGGGGTTGAGTCCTTTTCTTTCTCCATACAAACTGATGATGGTGTTCCTACACCTTGACCACTCTTTTTCGCAAGCATTGCTAACTTCTCCTCCACTTGCAATTCAACTAACTGCAGTGCTTGCATCACTACTATAGTAGTTTGAATGGAACCCGAAGCTTTTGAACACAACGTACCAAACCTGACCATCATTTTTTCATACCTACAAACTTCCTCGGTTTTGTTTGGGTCATGATAGCACACTTTCACCCTTGTGTGCTTCCGTATCACATCTTTCCCCCACCTCCGGAGAATATAATAGTCTGGTCTCTCATAAAAATTATTAATCTCATAAACCCTAATGATATGACGACAAATAATCCCATGACACTCAAAGTGGCGACAGTCACAAGTTACGTGCTTGGTTGACCTGTCAAATGAAAGCTTGTACTCTCTCTTTCTCTTGGATGGCTTTTCTTTATGCGATCCTTTGGGCTTGTACCATACTTTATCCTCCACAACAAACTCAGTTATTGTGTTAGAAACCCGATTCCAATGTATCTCACTTACATAAATTACACGGTTGCACTCCTGTTGCACCTCCTTTAATTTTGCATCCGTATAAATCTTCTGAAATACCAACTCAGCCGGGAAATCAGTGTAACCTTGCCTCACATGCCTGTCATTATTGTCATCTGCCCTTTTCTCATTTGTGCACCTAACTTCCAAGGCATCACAATACCTCTCCACAAACTCATGCAACAAAGTATGCATGCTCAGAAACCCATCAAAAAACCTGTGAATACTCTCAACTCGTTGAGTTGTTTTCATCCCGACCCAAAATAAATGTTTCACAAAAGCAGGCACCCACATATTGCGTTCTTCATACAACCCTAAACAAATTTAAATAAAGAGCCACTGAATAGGGTTTACGGTTAACAGAGCTTATGAAATTTTCACAACGCTTAATTTTCACAGAACTTAATTTTCACAGAGCTTATGCACAAACAGTTACATGATCCAAAAAGGCAGTTTAAGAGTTAAAAAAAAAGCAAAAAAAAAAAAAAAAAAAAAGAAGATTATATCATGATTCCTAGATTTTTAAAAGTCATAGAGAATAACAATATCCACAGAGCATCAAAGTCACAAACTAAGTTCAGATAGCACTGAATAGGATTTACCCTTGTTCACAGTCCTTATGAAATTTTCGCAAAGTTTATAACATTTTCACAGAGCTTATGCACCAACATTTTCATAGATCTAGATTTTCCAACACATTCACAACAGCAGCATAACATTATAATAGCAACATAAAAATATCCACCAACATAACATTATAACAACAACACACATTATAATACACACACACACACAAACACAGTATAACAATAACACAGAACAATTGTGATTCTATTTTTATAATGAGTAAAGAAGAAACCTTGAAGACATTCATCATCTTCTAGTTCATGCTTTTTGATTGCCTCAAGCCAATTAGCCTCAAACTCTTCACAATCAAGACAGTCATAAATTGCACACTCAAGATCAGCTTCAATTTCACTGTAATTTTTAAGCTTCTTGGCAAATTTTTTTGTAATGTGCCAAATACACCACCGATGAACGGTTCCTTGCATAGTCACTTTCAACGCTTTCCTCATCGCCGGATCTTGATCCGTTAGGATCCCAATAGGCTGTTTTTCACCCATACACCTCAACCAGTTGGAGAAGACCCATTCAAACGTTTCAGCGGTCTCTCGAGACACTAGTGCACATCCGAACAAGACGGTTTTACCGTGATGGTTAACCCCCACAAAATTACAGAATGGGAGCTTATACTCATTTGTTAAGTAAGTAGAATAAAAACATACAACATCTCCAAACTCCTCGTACGCAACGCGACTCCTAGCATCTACCCACAATACATCTTGGAGCCTACCCAAATCATCCACTCGATTGGTATGGAAAAAAAGTGGGTTATCATCCACCATCCTTTTGAAGTAAGAAAACATTGCCTTTGCATCACCTTCCTAAAATATGATTTTCCTTTGCTTTGCAACCTCATCATGCAAATCCTGTTGAGTAAATTTCATCTCCTCTCGGCCATTCCTTTGACGGGTTGTACAATTGAATATCTTTGCAACTTGAACACCCACCTTGCGGTCATTGAATACTTGTTTAAGTATGTGGAGATTGTCCGTCAAGAACTTCTTCCTAAACTTAGTGATGTTCTTGGACTTCCCCGGTGTTGGTGAGTGACCTTTATGTTCTAAGAATGGCTTTATCAATTACCCAATCACGCCCTTCATTCAACTTTGCATATAATTTCACCGGGCATTGCACTTTTTTGCTCTTTTGTTTAACACAAATTTCGTCATATATTTGTGAATCCGAAACAAATGTGGGGGCATCAGTTTTCTTGCCCTTCTTACTAGGCGTACCGTAACATTCTCATGTCCATGTCACACTCCGCTTGTCCTTAGCATTAGAACCTTTTTTTATTGTTGCTCCACTTGAACGGACTACACCAAAACCTTCTTGTTTCCCATAGTCCCTAAAATATGGGTCTATTTTTTTCCAATTATCAAAGATCATTCCTGATTAAGGTGGAGGAAGGGAAACCTCTGCATTTGCAAACTCTTTGATCTCGAAGCTTATAGCCACACGACTCTTTCCTTTGGTTTGAGTCTTGTATGACTCTTAACCAACATTCACCTTTCCAACATCATTCAAAGCATATCAAAATTCAAACAAACAGTAACTAATCTCAGGGCACATTTGATCTCATATTCTCATTATTTACATGAAACAACAACAACAACAACAACAACAACAACAACAACAACAACAACAACAACAACAACAACAATAGATCCACTGAATCTAAACTAATCAGTAAACCAAAACAAGAACATTTGATCTCATATTCTCATTATTTCCACTAAAACACATTTATACTAAACAAGCACAATTCATCAATTTAATCAATTTAATATCAAATGTTATTATTTTGAGATTAATTAATCAAAACCCCAATTAAAACAAACAACGATTTCTACTGAATTCAAAAGGTTAGTTACGACATTACCTCCTTTAACAATGCTTCAAGAGCTAACGAACATCCTTCTTCGTCATCTTCTACTTCTTCAATGGCGGTTTCGTTCACTGTTTCTTCAATGGCGGTTGTGTTCAATGGGTCTTTAATGGCGGTTGTGTCACCATCCAACATAACCCCGATAGCACGAGCGCCACCTTTAGATAAGCCAAAACCGTCTGTAAAGCGCGAGTCCTCCATCACCAACATTTCCTCGAGGTTTTCACCCTCACCGGATGATTTTTACATGAAAATGGTGAGGGTGAGGTTGAAGAGAGACAAGAGTAAAAAGTTAAAGGAGTAAAAAGTGAGAGGAGTAAAAAGTAAAAGAGATAAAAAGTACAAAGGGCAAAATTGTCTTGTAAACTTGTATTATATGCTTGTACAATATCTTGTATTTCCCTTTTTATTTGATAAAATGGTTTAGTAATACCTGACTTGTGGGACCCAACCGTTTCATGTTACACCTAGTTCCGTTCGTTATGCATGGCTATATGCATACCTAAACTTCATTAATACTTTCTCCCTAAGATGACGGCTTCATTTTCCTTTTAATTTATTTACTTTAGGCCTAGAATAAGAAGAGCCTATTTAGACAAGCATTCTGTATTATATTAGATATAGAACGCCTCCAAGAGGCGCTCTACAGACTTTAAAGCACCCCACTATAAGAGCGCCTTGGAGGCGATCTATATTGCTTGTTTTAGGCGATGTGTATTCCCCTTTTTCTAGTAGTGACATTTATTTCCTTACTAACTAAAAGGAAATATTATGCTTGTAAGTCTTAGGTTCATTTCTAACTTAATAGAAACTTTTAGGATTCAATCCAAGCCTTTGGTAAATTCTATACCTATACGGAGTAATTGCATCAAACACTAAGTTTCAAGGCACTTTTAAAGCCCTTTGATTATGTTGATCTTACTCAAACGTTTCAAAATTTTTGTGAGTAATGAATTCTCTTTTAAGGCACTTGTAAAGTCCTTTTGAGTATTCTTGATCATGTATTCTCACCAAGCCCTTTTAAGGTCTTCCGAGATTCTCAATTCTAGTTTGTTGCTAATCTCGATCGTCATTGACTTCATTTTTCTCCCACTTGTTGTTTTAGAAATGATGAACTTTTTAGAAAGACACCACTTAGAGAGAAGAATATTATGTTCTCAATTAGGTTGTGGAGAAAATGTCCGTAGTCTCACTTGAATGCTTACAAAGAGACATCTATATTTTATTTAGGTAAAAGTTCATTGTGAAACAAACAGTCTTCCACTTGAGCTATTTTAGCTTTTAATTAGCCATTAAGCTCCCATTGAGACACCAAGCTTTTTCTAAGCCGCTGAGCTCTAACTGAGGCGAAGAGTTATAGACATATACTTGAAAAGATGTTTCTTTCTATCCATAACTGAATATGATGTCCTTTCTAAGATTCGACATTTTATTTAGTGTAACATTAGTCTTTTGGTCAAATCTTAAGAACTTTCACTAGTACATAATTAACCTTAAGTAACACCCTAAAAGTGTTACATAAAATGTTATAAGTGTTATTATAGACAATAGGTAACACTTTAGCGGGTGATACATCCGCCCATGTTACCTAAGGTCTTATGTAACACTTTGGGTAATATATGGTAACACTTTTAAAAGTGTTACTATAAAACATCTTATGTAACACTTTTTATATTATTAGTATCATTTTTAAAGTGTTACTTTTTAATTCTTATGTAACATCTCTAGTAACATTTTCCAATCATATAGTAACACTTTATCATACTTTATGTATCACTTTTGCAAACTAATATAACACCTTGTTGATTATTAGGTAACATTTACAATCATCTTTTGACATTAAGTATCACTATATTTGACATTATGTATCACTTGTATATTAAAATGTACAACCATGACACAAACATGTAATTAACATATACGATAAACAATAATTGGAATTGATAAAATTTCATATATCCTTCCAAAAAAAAACCATAAACACCAATTTTTTATCTCGCTAAACAATCTAATAATAAAAAATAAAAATAAAATATCAACTTTGCCACCAAATTCCAAACAGAATAGGCAAAATCACAATCAGCGTAGTTGCAAACAAACATCATTAATAATTGAAGACAGTAGCATCTTGTAGCTAGCTCGGTTGTAGTAGCAGACATCAATTACAACAGCAGATCACCGTAACAGCAGTAGTCAGCAGTAACAATGACAGCAACAGCAGCATACAACTCTTTGCTTTAGACAAGGCATCATGAAAAGAAAGACATGATCCACCAATGCAATCTCATATAAGGAGTTGCACATGTTCTATCTTTAGCCATGTTGAGTTCCTGCACACACAACCAAAAGAAAATGAACAATCCACTTAGCTAAAAAAAACCAACTTGTTACAACTAATTTATGCTAGAAAATGATATTGCACCAACTGCTTACATTCTTACATGATCCAATGGCGACACTGAACCAACTGCTTACATTCTTACGTGATCCATTGGCGACACTGAACCCTGTATAACCTGGTTATTCAGGATAATGATTGTCTACATATAATGTGACAGCCATTAAAGCTTCATTTGCACGAGAGGTCAAGAAACATATACATAAATTAATGAGCTAAGTAATTGAGACCTTAACTAACATATTGATCCTGGACACAAAATAATGTAGGGTTATTATGCTAGAGAAAACCCAGAACATAAAATTTATGCATCAATTCAAACAAAATATAGAATAGAAAAATTTTCATAATCGTTCTTTTTCTATTCACGACTGTCTAAAAATAACATTCCAATTATAGAATTATTCATGTTAGTATATACTTATCTATCATTAACCAAGCCTTGTAACATTTAAAAATCCAAAATATCCTAACCTATACAACCAGATCAAAATAACCAAATCAATAATAGAGTCTAATAAGTATGTGAAATTTTGACTCTAAATTTAATATAAATGAGAGTAAATATGAAAAGAAAGCATACCCATAAACACTCAAATTGAGTAGCAGCAACTCACGAACTACCGTTATCAAACAACACCACAATTTCATTTTCTTCTCCCACTTTCTCTTACTCCACTTTAGCAATATCCACACATAAATAAAGAAAGAAAATTTTTATTTATCTAACAAAAACAGACGAGGAGACCCATTGTTATTTTACCAGCCAATATTCCTTTCCCTCTTTCTTGCCAAAGAACCCTTGCTGAAACCCAGCTACTTTTCACACTTTACTTTGTCATACCATTCAATCTCCCTAGAACAAGAAATAATTGTTTTAAGAAAATAGTACAAAGAAAATAAATGTTACTACATTAAATTTCTAAATGGCAAGAAAGAGACTATTAAAAATATTGATATCACAACCCAAATGGTAAAAAATTATACAATGAATATTGGAACTAAGAGTATAAGAGTAGACTTTATATATACTTTCAACAAGTCACATGCATTAAGGAAGTTCTCATGGCAATATGGCATCATAAGAGTTATGATTAATGTCGGAAATAGCCCTGGCATCCGACCTATACCTAATATCAGGTTGTCAGGCTACAAATAACAAACTATGTGATCCTAATCATCTGTGGGAATTTGAAGATTATTTCCAGAAAATATAAGCATCAAAACTGCAGCATCAAATTTACAGAATTAATATAAGCCAAAAGTGGAAATTTTTTTAGAAGATATAAGCATCAAAACTGTAAAAATGGAAAGAAATAAAATGAGAAATTAGTTTCAAAAAATATAATCACTTTCTTTTACTCAACGTATCAAACATTCCCACTAGTCCATAGTCCGTCCAAACCTTGACCAAAAGAAAAAAGGCAAAAAGATAACGGAAAAGTCTAGAATGAAATTCATGATTCATAAAGCTTAAAAATATAAGACAGTTTAGGTTTGAAAGAAAAACAAGAGCTATATAAAGAACAAGTACAATGATTCATGATATGTATGTAGCCACTATACAATTAATTTGGAGTTATAAGGTAAAATATCCCTTACACCAGGACAAGCATTGAACTACAAAAGAGGCTATAAAATTCACAATTTCTAGAAGTACTTACTTGTCAATAGCAAATATATAACAAACAAGAGATGCTCTCTATATTCGTAGAAGGGGGGGGGGGGGGTTGGGGTAATTTAAGTATAAAGTCATCTTTGTTTTATTTAATTTAAATGCTCTTTTTTTCTTTCCTCATAAAACTCTTTTTTATGAATTCAAATGTGAGAGTTGAATACACAATTAAGGCATGAAGACAAATCAATTATCTACATTGAACTCTTACCTCCAATCTCACCAATCCACTGTAGGTAAGGGCAAGATGAATTAACTAAATAGACAAATCACCAAGCTCACCAATCCACTGTAGGTAAGGGCACGATGAATTAACCAAATAGTCAAGGTATTGCATAATTATATTTGCAACCTCTGTCTTGACTGCTCTACTCTTGTATCTAACTAATATGGATTTGCTTGCATTAAGTGTCATTCATCACTGCTTTGTAGAAATGAAATGTGAGTCTAATTCAATAAGATTTGAACTCAAAATTGGTCATATATATATATAAACCTAAAATTGGTCACATATATAAAATTGGTCACCTCATTCTATAATGTCAATTGTCCAAGTCAAAAATATAAATCAACAAATAATTCACAATATAATCACCAGGATTAACAGAAAAACCATCAAGATCTTGTTTGCTAAAAGCTCATCAATTAGTCCATTTATATCAAATAGAGAATTGACATCGTCAATAATAGCTAAAATGTCATAAGTCCATAATTTATGAAATTATATCGGAAATTTTCTCAAATTTCTAGAATACAAATTCAATAAATCAAGGAATTCCATAAATCAATGTAGATATTCAGCCATCACTTAATTCGACTAACATCGTCAAAGCTTGACACAAGTATTGACGCTAGAATGTTAATTAACTCAAACAAATAAAATTAACCCAATTCAATAATTAGAGATTAATATATAAAAAAATCAAACTAAAAATAAAATAGCAAACCTAAGAGTGGTGGTTTTGACAGTAGCAGGAATAGCGGCATGCATTAGATTGAACATCAAATATTATTCCTCCGATTGTAACTAGCATTGCCTTTGATTTCTGCCCACAATTACTTGGATCCTTGACAAACTTAAGAAGATTAAATTCAGAAAAGAAAAATATAAACCTTAAATTGGTTAGATTAGTCAACAAAGATTAAATTACAAGGTAAATCAAATCAGCAATAAATGAAAAGAAGAAAAAACAAAAATCCCAATTTCATCAAAATACTTCAACCAATTCAGATGCATGTAAAATTGAGTATGAAAATAATGAAATTAAACATGTTAAATGGCAAATTAAACGTCAATTTAAGAAATCATCAAAACGATTAGAGAGAAGGAATTGAAACCCTAAGGTTAGCTACTCAACTTCTTGTTAATAATGGAAAGGGAGAGGGAACGATGATGGAAGCCGAACCTAAACTTTAAGATAGAAGCCGCCGATGATGGAAGCCTAGAGGTGCCAATCGCTATCTTTGCCTCTTTGGAGGTGGCAATCACTGGAGCACGGAGTGTTTTATACATATTTGGTTTGGAGCACAGGTTGCGATGGAGGTAGGCTGCGGTGAACGGGGGCTATAGTGCAGCACTAGGAGCGAGAAGGGGGTAGCGGTGAAAAAGAGGTGTCGAGGTGCAAATTCAAGAGAAAGAGAAAGGTTGATGGAGAAACCGAGAAATACAAGGGAGGAAGATAGGTTGTGACTTGTGAGGGTCTTTTTTATTTATATCAAATCAAGTTTTACAACTACGTGTTACAACCAAGTGATACCTAATATTAAAGTGTTATTATAAAGTGTTACCTAACATTAAAGTGTTACAAAAAATATTACCTAATATCTAAATGTTACAAAAGTGTTACATAGAAATCAAGTAATCAAGAAATTTTTAAAATGTTACCGATTGATGTTATTTAAGCCCAACTTTATAGTAGTGTTTATAGGAAGGGATGTGATCCATCATCGTTCAAGTCATTTTCAAATGGCATCGAGGTCTATGTGAAGACATACTGTGATCTCTGTGGAGTATTTATGAAAATTTCTATTCATAACTTTGAGATGGTCACGTTTGGGTCAAGAAAACACCGCTCGATCTAATCTAGACGTTTCGATATCTTGCCAAGTCAATTATGTACTTAATTGAACTCTTGAGCTACTCAAGGTTAAGTTTTGTTCACATTTGATGAATATAGCCATATTCTTTTATATTACTTGTGAAACATTGAAGTAATTGAATCCTCTTTACCTTTCTAAGTAAATTGTCTATACAAAGAATAATAGCTCTTTACTTTGTCGATTTTAATGAGTAAGACTTGTTTGTCTTAGAACGATTCTGAACGACCAACTGTCAAGGGCCTTCACTTGCAACTTTATGGCTTCGTCTTCCAAGAACCTCTGTCTTTAAGACTTAACAAAAATTATACGATAATACTCAACGGTTCGTAGACCTTATTTAGATTTACAGAAATACATGACGGAATGCAGTCCATATTTTCTATCCTGTCGGGCCCACTAGTTGCCATTTTATAAAACCTTTGAGAGAATATAAATTCCATTCATCAATTCACTATATGTTAATGGCCATTTATTTTACAACAATAATCAAGTAACAATGCACACATACGCGTAAATTAGTAACTAACTTAGGTGGTTAATCCGATTAACATTCTTAATTAAAACTAGTCAAAGTTGTTTAACCAATTACGTGATTAAGAATAATAAAAAAATTGAAGCTCTCACTAAATTCCGCATCAAACTTAATTTATCCAATTAATTAAGCCTGTAAACAAAAAATTTTGCCAAAATAAAATTTTGCATGTACCGCTCAAAACCGAGGCCTTACCTCCCAAAATTAAATAAAATTAAATAAACATAAATAAAATAATTAAATTCGGTAAAATACGCAAAACATATAGCCCCTCACTTTGCTAGAGTGCCTAGTACCAAGGAACGAGGCTTGGTTTTGTAGGAACCGAGCCTCGATTCTTTGTGTGGCTGCTGTCCGCATAGCCTCTTGCTACTTTGCGAGGCTCATGTTGCCTAGCAGCCGCAACCCGCAGCTCTCCGCAAGGACTTGCCTTCACGCAACAAGCATCGCATCATTTACTTGCACACACTCGCACATAGATGAATCTGCCAGCAGCCTTGGCAGCCACATGCGGGCTGCTCCCGGCTAGCCTAAGGCTTGCTCGTGGCTGTTGTGCCTCAATTTGCGTGCTCGTGCAATTTGGGTTTTTGACCCGATTTTTTGTGACATTTGTTTTGGGTGTTTTTGTCCCTCGAGAGAGTTACAACTCGAAGATTGGTTGAGGAGCGCCTGTACATGCAAAATAGCAGAGGCTCCGGGTGGTTGGAGCTCCCCCCCCTCTGACGATCAAGTTAGAATGTGTTGGAGTAAGTAAAATGTGCAAAAAATGATATAGGTGATATCTTCTCGGATTCCAATATCTAGAGATTTCTCTGATGTAAGAGAATGTAAGTGATATAGTAATAAAATCAATCTGTCCCACAAATGGGGGAAATCTCCCTATTTATAGGGTCATTTTTGATAAGTGTCCCCTTACGTAGGTCGTTTGACCTTGATTTGGTGGGCTGCCCGCACTTTTGGAGGTTTTTCGGGAATTGGGCCTTTGAAAGCCGTCATTCCTTTTGATGACAGTGGATTCCACGTGTCATTTTGTAAATGGCCCAATTTAGGCCAATATAGGGTAGACACATGTCCTATTCTCATTGGACCACGTGGCGGGGTAAATTTAGCCAAAACAACATTTATCATCAATTCTAAATTAATTTTAGAATCAATTTATTGAGCTAGATAAATAAAAATTAAACAAGTTCAGCTTAATTAAATTCATTTAAGTGCACTAAACAAAATTATTTCTAAGAACTCTTCTTTAGTGAAATTTGGTTCAGCTTGATGCAACAAAAATGAAAAAGGGCTATTCTAACTATTAATTTAACCAACGTAAATTAATTATGAGATTTGACAAAATTAAGAGTGTTGGAAATATGAACATATATATTCAAACAAAGATTCGAATTTAAACTAGTGAATCCTTAAAAAATTACATCATCCAATATGATAATTATTAAAAGTTCTATCACAAGTTTGAAAATTTAAGATTCCAATCAACTTAACCATGATTAAATAAAAAAAAGTTCGAAAAACATATTGGGAATTTAGCAACACAAAGTTTAAATTAGTTAAAATAATTAAAGATGGAATCTTTAGTACATAAGAGCCTCAAGATACAAACTTTTGACACTTAAAGCAATTTATTTGCAATTATGTGAAATTTTGAGCTAACTATGAAGCACCAATTACTACCAAGTAATTAAGCTCAAAAGTGGTGTAAATTTGCAGAAGGATAAAGGAAAGAACCAAATACATAATCACAATTAATATGCCATTAAGATATAAGGTTTATAAGATTTAAAATTTTTCAGCAAAATGAAAAATCCCTCAAAACAGGCATTTTAGTGCAAGATTTGGCTATTTCGCATACTAAAAAGGATCAGAATGTTTCCAAAATGTCGATTCCACCCAAAATTCACTAGTCTTGGGCGAAAATCTGGTTTTAGAGCAAAAATTCTTAATAAAACGAGAATAAAATTATTAAAATCAAGCTATTTATATAATTAGCAACAACAACAAGAAATTAAATCCATTTTAAACACCTTAACAACTTGAGTTACAAAAAAAAAAAAAATAAGCAAGGCTCTGATACGACTGTTTGGTTTCGATAAGTCTAACTCACCACAGAAGAAATATTCAACCACAAGACCCGCTCACAATTAATATAACTAAATGACATAAATAACAAGAAAGGGGGAAAAGATAAACATACCCTTATCGCGTGCTTCGTTCATACTCAGAGCACTTACTTCAACGCTAAGTCTTGCAAATGTAGAGACCTCCTACGATATACATCCGCAACTCCACCTGATCGGACTCTTACTCGGAGTTTAGTCGAATCGGACCAAAACCCTACACGAGTATTTTATGAACTTAAAGCTTTCTCTCAAGTGGATATGCCTTTTTAAGTTCTTACTCAAGTAAACAATCCCAAAGGTATGCCTTGGCTATTTGTATGATCTGCTTTCTTGTGAATTCAACTTGCCCCCCAAGGCAACTGACATCCATTGTGAGCTAATCATATAGCACCCAACCTTTAGCCCCAATATGGGTCGGGTTGGCCACCAACCTACGACCATCATCCATGAACCTTCACCCGGTTAGCGCCCCCCCTGCCACATAGCACGTTGCCAACGTGGCAACAAGCCACTTGGCACTGCCATGTGCGCTGCCACATGTCGTGTTTCCATGTGTGCTGCGGCGTGCGATGCCACATGGCGTGGTGCAATGTGGCGTGCTATCCTTGCCTTTCGTGTGGCTAGGAATTTTACTTGTTAGTTGAAGCGTTTTCCCGTCTCACCAATTCCTAAATTTTGGCTCGACTTTTGAGATTCTGTTCCAACGCTCTAAGCTCGGAATTCGACGTCTTTATTCATAATATTCGAGCGACTTATTAATTCCTTTTGGATTAATTTGTCATATTGGAACGTTAGTTGCTTGGGTGTTACCTAAAGGGTTCAATAATGAATTAACTGTAATATTAATTATATATTAATATCACTGCTAGGAAGTGGCCTCCAACTAGGCATTCCGATCACTTGACCTCACTGAATAATAAGCTTTCTAATAATTCTGAACACTCTATTGAAATAACATACTTATTTAAAGGACACCCAGTACAAGAAAAATCTCTTTTCGTAGCGATTATTTCATAGTGATTGTACATTCGCTACAATATGCAAGTATGTTTGTGAAATAATTAAGGATGTCATATTATTTTTACAATCGCCATTGTTTTCCCATATAAAATCGATAAGGAAAACATAATAATACATATCAGCACAATTTTTACAAATTTATATAATTTTTAGAAATCGTAACATGTACAATCGCCACTAAATCCTAAAAATCGATACGAAAAGCCTTTTCAACACTAGATATATAAACATTGTTTGACAAAGAATACATAAAATATGTCATATCTTATTAGTGAAAAATTTAATATACGAGGTTGAGGTTTCATGTTCATATCTTTTGAAGATCATACGCATGTTTTTTTTTTGAAGAAAATGAGTTAAACATTTATAGCGATTGTAATCGCTACAAAAATCACCATGATTGGATGTAGTTTTTCGTATCGATTATTGAGGCCAACCCCAGCAATATTGAAAACCACTACTAAAGGCTAAGGCAACATGGAATATTGTATCGAATGACCATTTCGTTGGGTAAGTTTTTTGTTGCAATTACTATCGATACTAAAGGTTAAAATAATCGCTAAGAAAAGGTTATTTTCTTGTAGTGACCATTCCTATCAAATGGAAAGTTCGTTATTGTAGGCGGCGTTTGAAGTGCGCCTACGTTAAAGCATGTGGTGATTATGCTTGGCGCTCATAGGAAGTGGGAATTTACATATATGATTAAGGACAAGGAAAGTAGGGAACCTCCAACAAGTTTTTAAGGAACTTGTAAACCATTCACGGATCATTTAAGGCAACCACGAATAAAGGGACAACGATAGGATACAACGATTGAGCTGTGAAGGTTACACCCCATTCATAATCCATGAGATTACTTACTCCATATGGTTTGAAACCACGAAAGGAGGATCGAGGATGATACTACGAAGTGAGTCATGGAGTCACATTTGCCCGTATTGGCCTC